TTCCTTATATCAAAACATGAAAAAATTGTCTTTTTTATGAAATTTTAAGAGGTTGTCTCGGATTTTTGCTCATAACTCCGGTATTTATGGACCGATTATGCTGATTTTAAATAGCGATCTTCCCGAAAGCATGTCTAACAGAATTATTGAAAAAATCAGTTTTATCTAAAAACTGATTTAAACAAACATACAGACAGACGGACAGATAGACAGACGGACATGGCTTAAGCGACTTCGCTATCTATAAGGATCCAGAATATATATACTTTATAGGGTCGGAAAATTATATTACGGAAATTACAAACGGAATGACAAACTTGTATATACCCTTCTCATGAAGGTAAAGGTATATACATATATAAATGAAATATATCTCATATTTTTTTCAAATTTTTTATGTCAAACAAAATATGGAGAAATATTAGAAAAAATTTAACTTTTTTTAATGTCAAAAAATATTAAGTGTAATAGCCCATTTACACCACTATGAAATCTAGTACTTATGAGATTTCGAGCCAAATCTATTTGATTTTAACTAGATTTCCCATACCAAACAAAATATACTTCGTAAGTAGATTTCGGCAAAATCTTCTCAAAATCTAATTGGTTGCAAATCTGTTTTTCCTTAACTAATACTAAAAAATACGACGCTGCAACTTCCATAATTCAAATAAAACATCGACTTTCGACGTTTTGCAGTATGTGCATGAAAAGTCGACTCTTCGACTTTTACAATTTTAACTTATCGACTTTCCACCTTCCCAAGTATCTAGTCGGTAGATATATTGCACGGAAGGATTTTTTAATCCTTAATATTTTAATCCATATTACAAGGAGTATTTTGCGCGACACTTGCTAGATCCTATACAGTTCACCAGCAACAATTTTACTGACCATTTTGGATGAAGCCAATTTTCCAAGGATCTGCTCTACCGATTTTTTTCACGGAAGGATTTTTTCAATCCTTACCATGTCTCCTACCATAATCCAAGGAGTTTTTGGCGCGACACTCGCTAGCTCCTATACAGTTCACCAGCAACGATTTTACTGACCATTTTGGATGAAGCCAATTTTCCAAGGATCTGCTCTACCGATTTTTTGCACGGAAGGATTTTTTCAATCCTTACCATGTCTCTTACCATAATCCAAGGAGTTTTTGGCGCGACACTCGCTAGATCCTATATAGTTCACCAGCAACGATTTTACTGACCATTTTGGATGAAGCCAATTTTCCAAGGATCTACTCTACCGATTTTTTGCACGGAAGGATTTTTTCAATCCTTACCATGTCTCCTACCATAATCCAAGGAGTTTTTGGCGCGACACTCGCTAGATCCTATACAGTTCACCAGCAACGATTTTACTGACCATTTTGGAGGAAGCCAATTTTCCAAGGATCTGCTCTACCGATTTTTTGCACGGAAGGATTTTTTCAATCCTTACCATGTCTCCTACCATATTCCAAGGAGTTTTTGGTGCGACACTCGCTAGATCCTATACAGTTCACCAGCAACGATTTTACTGACCATTTTGGATGAAGCCAATTTTCCAAGGATCTGCTCTACCGATTTTTTGCACGGAAGGATCTTTTCAATCCTTACCATGTCTCCTACCAGATTCCAAGGAGTTTTTGGCGCGACACTCGCTAGATCCTATACAGTTCACCAGCAACGATTTTACTGACCATTTTGGATGAAGCCAATTTTCCAAGGATCTGCTCTACCGATTTTTTGCACGGAAGGATTTTTTCAATCCTTACCATGTCTCCTACCAGATTCCAAGGAGTTTTTGGCGCGACACTCGCTAGATCCTATACTGTTCACCAGCAACGATTTTACTGACCATTTTGGATGAAGCCAATTTTCCAAGGATCTGCTCTACCGATTTTTTGCACGGAAGGATTTTTTCAATCCTTACCATGTCTCCTACCATAATCCAAGGAGTTTTTGGCGCGACACTCGCTAGATCCTATACAGTTCACCAGCAACGATTTTACTGACCATTTTGGATGAAGCCAATTTTCCAAGGATCTACTCTACCGATTTTTTGCACGGAAGGATTTTTTCAATCCTTACCATGTCTCCTACCATAATCCAAGGAGTTTTTGGCGCGACACTCGCTAGATCCTATACAGTTCACCAGCAACGATTTTACTGACCATTTTGGATGAAGCCAATTTTCCAAGGATCTGCTCTACCGATTTTTTGCACGGAAGGATTTTTTCAATCCTTACCATGTCTCCTACCATATTCCAAGGAGTTTTTGGCGCGACACTCGCTAGATCCTATATAGTTCACCAGCAACGATTTTACTGACCATTTTGGAAGAAGCCAATTTTCCAAGGATCTGCTCTACTGATTTTTTGCACGGAAGGATTTTTTCAATCCTTACCATGTCTCCTACCAGATTCCAAGGAGTTTTTGGCGCGACACTCGCTAGATCCTATACAGTTCACCAGCAACGATTTTACTGACCATTTTGGATGAAGCCAATTTTCCAAGGATCTGCTCTACCGATTTTTTGCACGGAAGGATTTTTTCAATCCTTACCATGTCTCCTACCATATTCCAAGGAGTTTTTGGCGCGACACTCGCTAGATCCTATACAGTTCACCAGCAACGATTTTACTGACCATTTTGGATGAAGCCAATTTTCCAAGGATCTGCTCTACCGATTTTTTGCACGGAAGGATTTTTTCAATCCTTACCATGTCTCCTACCATATTCCAAGGAGTTTTTGGCGCGACACTCGCTAGATCCTATACAGTTCACCAGCAACGATTTTACTGACCATTTTGGAGGAAGCCAATTTTCCAAGGATCTGCTCTACCGATTTTTTGCACGGAAGGATTTTTTCAATCCTTACCATGTCTCCTACCAGATTCCAAGGAGTTTTTGGCGCGACACTCGCTAGATCCTATACAGTTCACCAGCAACGATTTTACTGACCATTTTGGATGAAGCCAATTTTCCAAGGATCTGCTCTACCGATTTTTTGCACGGAATGATTTTTTCAATCCTTACCATGTCTCCTACCATATTCCAAGGAGTTTTTGGCGCGACACTCGCTAGATCCTATACAGTTCACCAGCAACGATTTTACTGACCATTTTGGAGGAAGCCAATTTTCCAAGGATCTGCTCTACCGATTTTTTGCACGGAAGGATTTTTTCAATCCTTACCATGTCTCCTACCATAATCCAAGGAGTTTTTGGCGCGACACTCGCTAGATCCTATACAGTTCACCAGCAACGATTTTACTGACCATTTTGGATGAAGCCAATTTTCCAAGGATCTGCTCTACCGATTTTTTTTACGGAAGGATTTTTTCAATCCTTACCATGTCTCCTACCATAATCCAAGGAGTTTTTGGCGCGACACTCGCTAGATCCTATACAGTTCACCAGCAACGATTTTACTGACCATTTTGGATGAAGCCAATTTTCCAAGGATCTGCTCTACCGATTTTTTGCACGGAAGGATTTTTTCAATCCTTACCATGTCTCCTACCATATTCCATGGAGTTTTTGGCGCGACACTCGCTAGATCCTATACAGTTTACCAGCAACGATTTTACTGACCATTTTGGATGAAGCCAATTTTCCAAGGATCTGCTCTACCGATTTTTTGCACGGAAGGATTTTTTCAATCCTTACCATGTCTCCTACCATATTCCATGGAGTTTTTGGCGCGGCACTCGCTAGATCCTATACAGTTCACCAGCAACGATTTTACTGACCATTTTGGATGAAGCCAATTTTCCAAGGATCTGCTCTACCGATTTTTTGTACGGAAGGATTTTTTCAATCCTTACCATGTCTCCTACCATATTCTAAGGAGTTTTTGGCGCGACACTCGCTAGATCCTATACAGTTCACCAGCAACGATTACGGTTCACCAGCAACGATTTTTAGAGGAATCTAATTTTACAAGGAACTATAGTTCCAAGACTATATAAAGTCTTGATTCCATTTTGTGTTTCCCATCTCTTTCCATTGAGTTTTCCATGGTATTTTTTATTAGCTAAGCAATTTATTTTTCCCCTGTGGTGTTGCCACTTAATTCCCAAAATTTTCTCTGCCGTTGCTATCTTTCGTTGCTAACTGGACGGACGTATTTTTTTTACTTCTATTAAAAAAAATTAAGCAGCTGTTTTGGCAAATCATTCACATTCAATCACAATAGTGTAGAAATGTCAATTATGAGAATGGTAAGCTCAGAGAAATTTGTCAGTCAAAATAAAGTAAATACACTGAAAACAATAAAAAATAATAAAGCCAAAAATAAAAAAAAAAAAAAAATATTTAATCTTCAAACAGATAAACAAAAAACCAAATAAATTTTAATTGTAGTATTAGTAAATATTTTAGATGCACATTCTTTAGCAAATTTTCCGTTATTTTTACTAAACATCATTGCTTAACCCATTAGATCCCAACCATCTTAAAATAAAAAACCCAGAAAAATAATTATTTAATTTATTAAAATAAAATTACATTCGAATTTCTTTCCACTAGATTTGTGTACTCGTTTTTAAAACGAGAAAAATTATGCGAATTCGTTTTTAAACGAGAAATTTACAAGGATTCGGTTTACAAAACAGACAGAACTATGTAATAGTATTTTGCCCAAATTGGCTTTTTGTATTACTGAATAAATAAATAAATAAAATATTTTTGTTTTTACGTTATTGATAATTTTCTTAATGCAAAATATAGGCCGATCCTTAGTAAAACTTGGAGAAAGGACTTGTTTTTAATTTTTAAGAATTTTTTATCCATCCCTGTATAATTTCTCACACAACTTTTGTGCTTGCTCTGTTTTGTTGTTATTAACAATATATTTGCTTCCAAAATCCCACTTTCTGGTCTCTAGGATTTCGTTTTTATTTAAAATCGTTGAAAATTTTAAAACTAAACGTAGTTGAAAACTTAGCCGGCATACAGTCGATTTTAAGCCGCCGCCGACATATTTAGTGTCAGTCGCCGCCGACATATTTAGTGCCAGTCGCAGGGCTCTGCTTGCATCTGCCTGTTTGCAATAAAATTGTTATTTTCGCAATAATTTTGAAAAAACTCGTACGAAAAATACCGGAAAGCGTGTGAGAAATCAATAAAACATTTTAACATTAATTAAAACGTCTGGCCGAGTCCTTCAATTGGTAAATATTATCATTTTCTTTGTGTAAATTTATAGTAAACTAAAACTTCAAGATCATAACTAAATGTGTGAAATTTTTAATGATGCGTAAAATTTTATTACTAATTCATAATAATAAAAAAATATAAAACTTTAATAACAATATATATTAGATATGTATATTGCATATACATAGTAATTATGTATTAGAGTAAACAATGAAAATGATTGTGCAATGTTAAGGGGGTCACAACCTTAACTTTTTTTCACAATTTAGTTTGAGACACATAAAAACCAAAAAAAAAGTAGGTTGCTGTGGACGACACTGAGAAGAAATTGATAATATGATGAAAACAAGACACCGCCAACAATATATTTAATTATTTTATCATTTTTATTTAAGGTAAAAGCTACTCATTTGTCTAATCGATAAAAATATATAAAAGAAAAGAAACGAAAAAAATCGTAAATTTGTTTAGTGATTGTGAAAGATTTTTAATCAATAAACAAGTGTTTATATAGTATGTCAATGTGCACATGGTATATTTCCTGGTATTTTTGTTTTTGGTGCAAAACGAAATGATAATAGAAACAAATTTTAGGTTTTTATCTCTTGGTACAAGTGTACTAAGGAGTTACTAACATGTTTGGTAGTATTGTAGGCTTTTTGTTTTTATTGTAGTCAAATTTTTGTTAGAACAAATTTTTGTTAGAACAAAAGTACTTTTTGGGCGCATAATAGGAATTGTTTTGAAAAATAAATTGAAAAATAAATAAAGTTTTGGCTATAGACTGCTATATATTCTCAACTAGTCCATATAGCCGACTATATAATGTTTTATAGGCTCGACTATAGTGTATTCCATAGTTTAGTCTACAGTAATAGACTAGTCTGTAGTCTAATAGTTGACTAATCTAATGTCTAGACTATAGACTATACACCATTTTTCTTATATTCTAAAGTGCATTTTAAATTTTCACTTTTATTAATTCCTAATATAAACCATATTTTTCGTTATAAAATATTAAAGAATACAATCGCCTCTAAATAAAACAAAACAATAAGCTCTTTTTTCAAGAGTTTTATTTGTCAAATGTTCATTATGAGTAATTAAATCTTTTTAATAGAAAAACAAAAAAACTAAGGCATAAATATTTATCAAATAAATGCGATTTTTAACACCCGTGACTTGGTGCTATATGATACAATACATATTTAGTTATTTTTAATAAAAAATATAGTTTATACAGCTACAATAATGTTATTTTATCTAAACTTAAATAAACAATTTAAAATAGGTTTGTTAGTATTAAAAGGCGTAATGTATGTAAAATATTTAAGGTATTCACGTCTAAATAATTATAAACTAAAAGTTATTTCTCTAAAAAGTTAGTAGATTATGTTATAGCATAAAGCTAGTTCTAATTAATTGCTGTTCAAAAAAATCAATCAATTTGTAGGTATTTAACAATAAATCAAAATTTTTAGATTTTACCTCAAATAATATAGATTTAAAGCCAACCATGACAATTATTTCAACATTAATCTTTTATGTTAGCAATTGCTGGCTTAAATTTACTTTAGATAAGCAGTTCAATGTAATTTCTAGGGAAATAAAAAAAAATATTTTGATTAATTTGGAAATTTCAAACAACTTTGCTGATAAGAGTTTTGTATGCCCACAATATTAATTCATCTTTGCTATTTTTATAAGAGTTGAAAAAAGTCTAAAGTGAATGCCTTTACAAAATAATTAAATTATTTATTATTTCCCTAAAAGATTATGCAAAAGATTTGTTTAGTTCTAGTTTAGTTTTAGTTAAGATCTAGTTAGTTTCTGGTATAGTTATATTTAGTTCTAGTTCAGTTTTAGGTCAGCTCTATTTTAGTTCAGTTCGTTTCTAGTTCAGGTCTAGTTTTAGTTCTAGTTTAGTTTTTAGTTCAGTTCTAGTTCAGTTCTAGTTTCAGTCTAGTTCAGTTCTAGTTCAGTTCTAGTTTCAGTTCTAGTTCAGTTTCTAGTTCAATTCTAGTTCAGTTTCTAGTTCAGTTCTAGTTAAGTTCTAGTTCAGTTCTAGTTCAGTTCTAGTTCAGTTCTAGTTCAGTTCTAGTTCTAGTTCAGTTCTAGTTCAGTTCTAGTTAAGTTCTAGTTGAGTTCTAGTTCAGTTCTAGTTCAGTTCTAGTTCAGTTCTAGTTCAGTTCTAGTTCAGTTCTAGTTCAGTTCTAGTTCAGTTCTAGTTCAGTTCTAGTTAAGTTCTAGTTCAGTTCTAGTTCAGTTCTAGTTCAGTTCTAGTTCAGTTCTAGTTCAGTTCTAGTTCAGTTCTAGTTCAGTTCTAGTTCAGTTCTAGTTCAGTTCTAGTTCAGTTCTAGTTCAGTTCTAGTTCAGTTCTAGTTCAGTTCTAGTTCAGTTCTAGTTCAGTTCTAGTTCAATTCTAGTTCAGTTCTAGTTCAGTTCTAGTTCAGTTCTAGTTCAGTTCTAGTTCAGTTCTAGTTCAGTTCTAGTTCAGTTCTAGTTCAGTTCTAGTTCAGTTCTAGTTCAGTTCTAGTTCAGTTCTAGTTCAGTTCTAGTTCAGTTCTAGTTCAGTTCTAGTTCCGTTCTAGTTCAGTTCTAGTTAGTTCTAGTTCAGTTCTAGTTCAGTTCTAGTTCAGTTCTAGTTCAGTTCTAGTTCAGTTCTAATTCAGTTCTAGTTCAGTTCTAGTTCAGTTCTAGTTCAGTTCTAATTCAGTTCTAGTTCAGTTCTAGTTCAGTTCTAGTTCACTTCTAGTTCAGTTCTAGTTCAGTTCTAGTTCAGTTCTAGTTCAGTTCTAGTTCAGTTCTAGTTCAGTTCTAGTTCAGTTCTAGTTCAGTTCTAGTTCAGTTCTAGTTCTGTTCTAGTTCAGTTCTAGTTCAGTTCTAGTTCAGTTCTAGTTCAGTTCTAATTCAGTTCTAGTTCAGTTCTAGTTCAGTTCTAGTTCAGTTCTAGTTCAGTTCTAGTTCAGTTCTAGTTCAGTTCTAATTCAGTTCTAGCTCAGTTCTAGTTCAGTTCTAGTTCAGTTCTAGTTCAGTTTTAGTTCAGTTCTAGTTCAGTTCTAGTTCAGTTCTAGTTCCGTTCTAGTTCAGTTCTAGTTTAGTTCTAGTTCAGTTCTAGTTCAGTTCTAGTTCAGTTCTAGTTCAGTTTCTAGTTCAGTTCTATTCAGTTCTAGTTCGTTCTAGTTCAGTTCTAGTTCAGTCTAATTCAGTTCTAGTTCAGTTCTAGTTCAGTTCAGTTCTAGTTCAGTTCTAGTTCAGTTCTAGTTCAGTTCTAGTTCAGTTCTAGCTTCAGTTCTAGTTCAGTTCTAGTTCAGTTCTAGTTCAGTTCTAGTTCAGTTCTAGTTCAGTTCTAGTTCAGTTCTAGTTCAGTTCTAGTTCAGTTCTAGTTCAGTTCTAGTTCAGTTCTAGTTCAGTTCTAGTTCAGTTTCTAGTTCAGTTCTAGTTCAGTTCTAGTATTCAGTTCTAGCTCAGTTCTAGTTCAGTTCTAGTTCAGTTCTAGTTCAGTTCTAGTTCAGTTTCCGTTCAGTTCTAGTTCAGTTCTAGTTCAGTTCTAGTTCAGTCTAGTATTCTAGTTCATTTAGTTCAGTTCTAGTTCAGTTCTAGTTCAGTTCTAGTTCAGTTCTAGTTCAGTTCTAGTTCAGTTCTAGTCAGTTCTAGTTCTAGTTCAGTTCTAGTTCAGTTCTAGTTCAGTTCTAGTTCAGTTCTAGTTCAGTTCTAGTTCAGTTCTAGTTCAGTTCTAGTTCAGTTCTAGTTCAGTTCTAGTTCAGTTCTAGTTCAGTTCTAGTTCAGTTCTAGTTCAGTTTTAGTTCAGTTCTAGTTCAGTTCTAGTTCAGTTCTAGTTCAATTCTAGTTCAGTTCTAGTTCAGTTCTAGTTCAGTTCTAGTTTCAGTTCTAGTTCAGTTCTAGTTCAGTTCTAGTTCAGTTCTAGTTCAGTTCTAGTTCAGTTCTAGTTCAGTTCTAGTTCAGTTCTAGTTCAGTTCTAGTTCAGTTCTAGTTCAGTTCTAGTTCAGTTCTAGTTCAGTTCTAGTTCAGTTCTAGTTCAGTTCTAGTTCAGTTCTAGTTCAGTTCTAGTTCGGTTCTAGTTCAGTTGCAGTATGTAGATTGTAGTGTGCACTTATAGTCTGAACTATGTCTGAACTAAAGATCAAACTTATGTTTTTCAAAATAATAGCTTGGATAATAACCAATAACGTAATAACTCCAGCAGTTGTATTGCAGAAATCTTTGTTGGATTTCGTAGATTCACACTACAGCTTTTATTTAATAAAAAATAGAAAGTTTATTAAGTTTAAAATTTAACACATTTTTTTATTCATAAAATTTAATAATAGCATCACCAAACAAACACTCTCACTTGTAAATAAAACTACAAATACTATAACAATTTAAAACATTTGTCGACAAGTTTGTTTGCCAGTTTCGCAAACACTTAACTTTTTTTAAAAGGTACTTTAATGAATCATCAAAAAACTTAATAATTTTACTTTCATTTTCTTTAAAAGATTTTATTTTATTATTTTCTTCAATACTAATAATTTCTAAAGATTTTAAAGTTGTGGCCAAGAACATGAGAATTTTCTAAAAAAAACCCATAATTCTTTAATACTAGCTATAAATCAATCTACATTTCATTGACCTTTTTGATTGTTGCTCATAAGTTTAACCCACTTTATAGGCAAGTTATGCATATTTATTTTCTAATTTCTGATAAGCATTATATTTACAATACAATTAAACAAAAATGAAACATAAAAAACAGCAAATAAACTTCAAGTGATTCCAAAAGTTCAATTTACAATCATAACCAAACCACAATGAAAAAAATATTGCGAAACAAATGATTGATGCTCATAGGCAGTCTAGAGTTAAAACATACTAAAACGTACAAAAGTTAAAACGCTCGACACACATTATTTAATGTTTTTATAATTATTTTATTAAATATTTTTGTTAATACGCATTTAATTTATAATTTATTTACAGCATTTGTTGCCTAGATAATTATTTGTTAAAAAAAAGAACAAAACAACAGAATAATGACGGTGGTAGCAAGTGGTGGTGATGCAGTTGGAGGTAACATAGGTTTAATAGCCATGTTGGCAGATAAGGTGGGCGTAGGTGAAGCGGCTATACGTTTGTTATTTACTCTATTTGCCGGTAAATTGGAACTTAACTTTAACCTCAAACTATTTTAGTTAATATCCATATTTTTTAACTATTTCCAGGTTACCCCATAGCATTTATTTATCGTTTCTTAATACAGCCTCAATCTTCTAAGCCGGTACACCACATTTTCTTTGCTTTGTGTGGTTTTGGTTTGTGTTTCTTTAACTATGGCTTTGATACTTATCACTCTTTAATCTCGATTTGGATTACATATCTATTGGTGCGTTTACTGCACAATAACACCCAACAATTGGTGGCCATTAATTTCGTTTTCCATATGGCTTATCTCTTAACCGGCTATTACTTTACCGAGAGCAATGAATATGATATTTTGTGGACTACTCCTCAATGTGTTTTAGCTTTGCGCATGATTGGTTTTGCTTTTGATATTGCCGATGGCCGTAAGCCTAGAGAGAAGTTGTCGAAAGATCAACAGGAGTGTGCTTTAGAACAGATACCTTCTTTACTGGAGTTGTCTGCTTATGCTTATTTCCCCAGTTCATTTTTAATTGGTCCTCAGTTTCCGTTTAAACGTTATCAGCGTTTTATCAATGGTGAATATGCCCAATATAAGGGTTTCGTTAAGGCTGGTTTAACCCGCCTGTTAGTGGGTTTGTTGTATTTGGCTGTGCGTCAAGTTGGTGCCATGTTATTCCCTGATAACTACTTCTTAACCGATGCTTATCGTAATCAACCATTCTTCTGGCGTTTAATCTATTTGGGCTTCTGGGCGAAGTTCTCTTTGTACAAATACATTTCTTGCTGGCTGTTGACCGAGGGTGGTCTTATGTCTTTGGGTAAGTTGGACGGAAATAAAATTGAATACATTCTAATCCAGTTCTAGTTCGGTTCTAGTTCTGTTCTAGTTCTGTTCTAGTTCAGTTTCTAGTTCAGTTCTAGTTCAGTTCTAGTTCAGTTCTAGTTCAGTTCTAGTTCAGTTCTAGTTCAGTTCTAGTTCAGTTCTAGTTCAGTTCTAGTTCAGTTCTAGTTCAGTTCTAGTTCAGTTCTAGTTCAGTTCTAGTTCAGTTCTAGTTCAGTTCTAGTTCAGTTCTAGTTCAGTTCTAGTTCAGTCTAGTTCAGTTCTAGTTCAGTTCTAGTTCAGTTCTAGTTCAGTTCTAGTTCAGTTCTAGTTCAGTTCTAGTTCAGTTCTAGTTCAGTTCTAGTTCAGTTCTAGTTCAGTTCTAGTTCAGTTCTAGTTCAGTTCTAGTTCAGTTCTAGTTCAGTTCTAGTTCAGTTCTAGTTCAGTTCTAGTTCAGTTCTAGTTCAGTTCTAGTTCAGTTCTAGTTCAGTTCTAGTTCAGTTCTAGTTCAGTTCTAGTTCAGTTCTAGTTCAGTTCTAGTTCAGTTCTAGTTCAGTTCTAGTTCAGTTCTAGTTCAGTTCTAGTTCAGTTCTAGTTCAGTTCTAGTTCAGTTCTAGTTCAGTTCTAGTTCAGTTCTAGTTCAGTTCTAGTTCAGTTCTAGTTCAGTTCTAGTTCAGTTCTAGTTCAGTTCTAGTTCAGTTCTAGTTCAGTTCTAGTTCAGTTCTAGTCAGTTCTAGTTCAGTTCTAGTTCAGTTCTAGTTCAGTTCTAGTTCAGTCTAGTTCAGTTCTAGTTTCAGTTCTAGTTCAGTTCTAGTTCAGTTCTAGTTCAGTTCTAGTTCAGTTCTAGTTCAGTTCTAGTTCAGTTCTAGTTCAGTTCTAGTTCAGTTCTAGTTCAGTTCTAGTTCAGTTCTAGTTCTAGTTCAGTTCTAGTTCAGTTCTAGTTCAGGTCTAGTTCAGGTCTAGTTCAGTTCTAGTTCAGTTCTAGTTCAGTTCTAGTTCAGTTCTAGTTCAGTTCTAGTTCAGTTCTAGTTCAGTTCAGTTCAGTTCTAGTTCAGTTCTAGTTCAGTTCTAGTTCAGTTCTAGTTCAGTTCTAGTTCAGTTCTAGTTCAGTTCTAGTTCAGTTCTAGTTCAGTTCTAGTTCAGTTCTAGTTCAGTTCTAGTTCAGTTCTAGTTCAGTTCTAGTTCAGTTTTAGTTCAGTTTTTCAGTTCTAGTCAGTTTTTATTAAAACATTTCGTTTCTGTTTCTTTTTTAGGCTTCACTTACAATGGCAAAGCCGCAGATGGTAGTGATGAATGGAATGGTTGTTCAAATGTCAAATTATATTTACTAGAAACTGGTAATACCATGGAACATTACGTCAAATCCTTTAATGTCAATACAAATCAATGGGTGGCCTCTTATGTATACAAACGTTTGAAATTCTTAAACAATCGTACCATAAGTTATGCAGCAGCGCTATTTTTCTTAGCAGTATGGCATGGTTTCCATACCGGATACTATATGTCCTTCTTTATAGAGTATATGATAGTAACCACCGAAAAACAGGTTAGTTTCTATAAAAATACACATTTTATTATTATTAACTTTAATTAAAAATTATTCATGTTTTCAACAGATCGAAGGTGTTTACAATAAATCAGTGGTCACCAATTATGCTTCCCTTGTCGAGACGCTGCCTTTTAAAATCTTAAAATTCATCGCCTTGAAATCATACAATTTAATATATATGGGCTGGTGTCTAACACCCTTCATATTCTTAAGCTATGAACGTTGGATTGAGGTCTTTAAAGCAGTAAATTATTTCGGTTTTGTCTATGTGGCCATTTGGTTTGTTATCTATAAATTAATTAAGGCAATGAGTGCGAAATCACGCTCAAAACAGGAACGTGTTGCCAGCAAGGCTACCGATTTATCGCCCACAATTAATGAACAACGTACAACAGATAGCAAGGCCACAGATCTGTCTCCAACTTTAGAAGAAAATAAAAAAGACAATTAAACAATTAAGACGTAGAGAAACAAAAAAAAAGAAAGACAATTTTTTGCATTAAGCAGAGACAAGTTTAAAGACCTTGTTAAAATGTTATTTCCCCTCCAGAACACAGGCTTAAGAAATTTTTGCAAAAAAGCAAACATCCAAAAATAAAAGGTAACAGGGAGCAGTAATAGAACTCTTTAAGCAGGGATATAGTAAATATTAATACTAATTACTGCACTGCTCCTATAGCAGCTGTAGTATTAAGGGTTTAATATTTATTTAAGAGCTTTTGCTGTTCCTTTAATTGTATGTATGATGTATTAGTTTATTAAATTTTTAATAATTATTATTATTTTCCTTAAACTTTTAAACAATTTTGTTTATTTAAATTAATTTTTATTATATCAATTATTTGTTAATTTTGTTAAATAGTTTTCTTTTTCTCCCTTTTCCTTCTTTTTTACTAAAATGTATTACTTTTTTTTTTGCTTTTAAGATTTTTTTAATTATTTACTTTTTTTATATATATAATAATGACTTTCTATTTGGGAAAAGAGTTTAAATGAATTAAAGATAAATATACACACAACACTACTTTATCTAGTCAAACGAATTAATATTTAAATATCTTAATATTTAAACAAAACAAAAATCACAACAACAACAAGAAAAACATATGTAATTAACTTAAATAATAAACAATTTAATTAAAATTCCCAGCTATTTTTAAATATTATTATAATAAAAAAAAAAAAAACAAATCAAAAAAAATCAAGCAAAATACTTTACCATACCATAATTAATTATTAATAATTATAAAACCAAAAGCCTATTAAAAGGTAAACAAAAATACAGTTTATAATATTTATAATAGTGGTCAATATTCTGAAAATTATCTATAATTAAAAATCTTTTCCATAATTCTACAACTGACTAATTAGAAAATAATTTATCATTTGTCATTATCATGAAATTGTTCAAATGAAACGGGTTAAGTGAAAGCTTAATTAAACCTAAATTAATTTGATCTAACAATATGACAAATTGCTGACAAAAGATGATATCTCAAAATCTAGTTCTAGTTTAGTTCTAGTTCGGTTCTAGTTCAGTTTTAATTCAGTTCTAGTTCAGTTTTAGTTCAGTTCTAGTTCAGTTCTTGTTCAGTTCTAGTTTAGTTCTAGTTTAGCTTAAGTTCATTTCTAATTCAGTTCTAGTTCTGTTTTAGTTCTGTTCTAGTTCTGTTCTAGTTCTGTTCTAGTTCTGTTCTAGTTCTGTTCTAGATCTGTTCTAGTTCTGTTCTATTACTGTTCAAGTTCTGTTTAAGTTCTGTTTTGTTCTAGTTCTGTCAAGTTCTGTTCAAGTTCTGTTCAAGTTCTGTTCTAGTTTCTGCTCTAGTTCTGTTCTAGTTCTGTTCATTTCTGTTCTAATTCTGTTATAGTTCAGTTTTACTTCAGTTTTAGTTCGGTTCTAGATCAGTTCTAGTTCTGTTAAGTTCTGTTTTGGTTCAGTTCAAGTTCAGTTCTAGTTCAGTTTTAGTTCAATTCTAGTTCAGTTCTAGTTCAGTTCTAGTTCAGTTCTAGTTCAGTTCTAGTTCAGTTTCTAGTTCAGTTCTAGTTCAGCCTCTAGTTCAGTTCTAGTTCAGTTCTAGTTCAGTTCTAGTTCAGTTAGTTCAGTTCTAGTTCAGTTCTAGTCAGTTCTAGTTCAGTTCTAGTTCAGTTCTAGTTCAGTCTAGTTCAGTTCCTAGTTCAGTTCTATGTTCAGTTCTAGTTCATAGTTCTAGTTCAGTTCTAGTTCAGTTCTAGTTCAGTTCTAGTTCAGTTCTAGTTCAGTTCTAGTTCAGTTCTAGTTCAGTTCTAGTCAGTTAGTTCAGTTCTAGTTCAGTTCTAGTTCAGTTCTAGTTCAGTTCTAGT